TTCACGTGGGCACGAATGACGATCGCCGGAGGAATACATCACGGAAGGTGGTGAGTTAACGGACGCAAAGGTCAACCGGCGATCGTTTTGTTCTCACGGCATTGTAAAAAAAAACGTGACGGGGTAAAAAAAAAAAAGGGGCGCAGCTCTGCAACCGCCCGCTGGCGCCACGTCCGGCAGGATCGGCCTGCCCCCTGTCCAACCGGGAGCTCCGGAGAGAGAGAAAGAGCCCCTCCCCTGACGGAGAGAGTTTATTTTGGGCCCCCTCGCCGACACGTCTCGGAAGACGCGGAGGAGTGCCTCGCGGCTTTACCCCGCCGCACACGTGAACTCCCCCCCGCCCCGCCAAGTCGACCGTCTGCGGTTGAAGCCATTTGACGCTGCTGGGCTTGGACAAAGGTGGCGGAGGTGGTGATAATTAATTAATTGTGAGACCGCCCGGTGCGCCGTGGGACTGAAGCAGCCACCTTTGGATTTGCAAGTCCAGCGTCCCTAGCCATTACATTGCGACAGCGTAACTGTAGCTTCTCGTTGTAAGTGTGCTACACTATAATGTTATTATACTTATTATTATTATTTACCACTGTGCTGGGCATCTCATTGATTTTCGACAACATTTTTCACCCAACGATAAGTGCGGTTCGTAGAATTTGAGATGAATTGATATCGCAGAATAAAACAAATGTTGTGGCTATACCAGTGTAGTGACTGACTCAGAGATACCAAGAGTAAGAGGCACTCTGTTTATTAACAGTCTTCACAGTTCACACTCAGCAACTACAGCAGCTCCCAGTCAGGACAGCTGGCAGACTGCCTGAGTGGCGACGCCGAGACGGAGGCGGCAACGAAGACTCCAGCAGCACGACGGGGTCCCACTCCACACGACAGCCCCGAGCTCCCGCTCGGGGCCCCCTTTTATGCTCCCAGCGTGGCCTCGCTCCACCCCGGCCACGCCCCCTCTCTAGAACCTACCAGCGGGTTCCCGGGCTTCCCCCACGTGCCCCTTCTGTAACCTTTCCCCTACATCCCTCTCTCTGGCGTATCACGTGGCCTGCTGTCAGTCAGGGCTGCTGTAACTGCAGATCCCCTTCCCTGCTAGCAACAAGCACTATGCTGCTAAGCGACCGATTCTATGTCACTACACCAGTATCAATAATGAGAATAATAAACAACAATATTTGGCGCTATAATGTTCCCAAAAGTAGATTCGTGAGGGAAACGTTAGAGTTGCGACGTTTCTGGACATGGCCCTTCCTCAGAGAAGATGTTTCCATAGCGACCCAGACGGCTGTTATATTTATTTTAAGAGGAGGAAGAAGAAGAAGAGGAACAAGAAGAAGAGAAAGAAGAAATATATTATTAATGATAATATAATATATAAAATATTAACGTAAAGAATACACTATTTACATAGTTGTAATGTCAGTGATAAAATTGATCAAATAACCCTATGTGCCCTGACTTTTTGGACCAGCCTGTTGTACACATTTCATTATACGGCTACACAGCGATGTCACCGACGAACGCCACCGACTTTGTGTTGTCAAGTACGAAACACGAGAGATTGGTCCTCGCTCTGCGGTGTCGAGAGATTCGCGCCAAGACAGAGGTGGGCACTATTTCCTTTTGACACTTTTTGCCCCGAAAGCCCCCTTTGAGTGCAGCCGCGGTCACGTGCACGGGTCACGCCACGAGGTCGCGACAACGGGTGACCCAACAGGGTCATGTCCACGGGTGACCCAACCCACTCACGTCCATGGGTGAGGTTATGAGGTCATGTCCATGGGTGATGCCACGAGGTCATGTCCATGGGTGACGCCACGAGGTCATGTCCACGGGTGAGGTTATGAGGTCATGTCCACGGGTGAGGCTACGAGGTCATGTCCACGGGTGAGGCTACGAGGTCATGTCCACGGGTGAGGCTACGAGGTCACGAGGTCAATGTCCACGCACTCTCTCACCTTGGCATCACTGCCGCCGGGGCCCTAAAGCACTCTCCGCTTCAACGTTGCTCAGCCGACACGGAATAAAACGACACAAATACGCAACACTCACGCATTGCACGGAGCCGTTGACACCTTTTCCACTGCTTTTTGTTATTTTAGTTTTGTTGTCCTTCCCCCCCCCCGCACCTCCGATTAACACGGTCGGCTACGTACGGTGCAAAACAATTTTAATGTACGTACGTACAGACCAAACCGGGACGCGTGTCTCCGTCAGCGCCGGTCTATTATCGACACCGTGCAGTATCCTGGAACAAAGTGAAAGTAAAAACGGTGCCGGATCCCAATACAAGTCCACGCCTGCCACCCCGAACACTGACGCCAAACAATCTCGGGACTGTCCACGTCAAACCCAAACACGCGGTGACCCTATTTCACACGCAGGGCAGCTAGGCCATACCCACCCACATTGACCGCTGGCAGTTCACCAGCAAGCCTGACGCTCCTGACGAGACGCTATAATGTCGAAACCGGGCCAGAGTTTGCTTGCGTTGAACGAATGCAGCTGAAATTATGCACTCCCAGGATGCCCTGTGGTTGACAGGAAGTGGGGAGGCTCCTGGCTCTCCACTGGTCACGCCCCCAACCCACGTCCACGTGACAGAGCCAACACAATCGAGCATTTGCATGATTTCTGCAACGCGCATTTGTCCTGAGAATCATTGCTTTGTCCGCATGGATGTTGAACTTCTTTCGCACCATACGTAGCCAACCGTACTATTCGGAGGTGCAGGGGAAGGACAACACACTCAACAACAAAAAAAACAGTTTTAAAGAAATGAGTTTTCAACCTAGATGATGTAAAAGTGCATAGCTCCAGTGGCTTCCTAACATCGGAAGGAAGAGCGTTCCAGACGGCCGCAGGAGTGCATCTGAAAGCACGCGATGCGGTGACCATCTTTGTTCGATGCTTTGATGAACGCTGCAACAGGGATCATTGGTACGGACATGAATGAAGATGGAGCGATGAATGAAGATGGAGCGATGAATGGAGGAGGATCGATGAATGGAGGAGGAGCGATGAATGGAGGAGGAGCGATGAATGAAGAAGGAGCGATGAATGGAGGAGAAGCAATGAATGAAGATGGAGCGATGAATGGAGGAGGAGCGATGAATGGAGGAGGAGCGATGAATGGAGGAGGAGCGATGAATGAAGATGGAGCGATGAATGGAGGAGGAGTGATGAATGGAGGAGGAGCGATGAATGAAGATGGAGCGATGAATGAAAAAGGAGCGATGAATGGAGGAGGAGCGATGAATGAAGATGGAGCGATGAATGGAGGAGGAGCGATGAATGAAGAAGGAGCGATGAATGGAGGAGGAGCGATGAATGCGGCTCGTGCGCAGGTGCTGGGTGGATTGTTACATCACAGGAGGACTCGACCACGATCACGACCACGATCACGACCACGACGACGATGACGATGATGATGAAAAACGTCAGCTTCTGGGCCACATATTGAATGACGTCACACGGCCAATCATGCGATGTCATGGGATGACGTCACAAGACGCAATCACGTAATTGGGTGACGCGCGCACGGAGAGTGATGTCACTGCCACGGGTGAGAAAATGCTTTTCCATTTCACGCTCAGTTTTTTAGAGTAACACCTCAAACAATTTGCCCCACATTCTATGGGGTAAGTACCTAATACTCAAATTACTTTAAAATCAAATTGTATTTGTGCTGGATCATCTTCACGGGCGCTATCTTTGATCCCTAATAGAGACAGGGGCATGTACATTGAACTTCTTTCGCACCGTACGGAGCCAACCGTGCTAATCGGAGTGCAGATGAATCGACACACAGACAAAGCAAGCAGAGTGTGCCTAGAGTTAGCGGAGTGCGCCTATGTCTAGCGGAGCGTGCCTACAGGTGTATGTCTAGCGGAGCGTCCCTACAGGTGTATGTCTAGCGGAGCGTGCCTACAGGTGTATGTCTAGCGGAGCATGCCTACAGGTGTATGTCTAGCGGAGCGTGCCTACAGGTGTATGTCTAGTGGAGCATGCCTACAGGTGTATGTCTAGCAGAGCGTGCCTACAGGTGTATGTCTAGCGGAGCGTGCCTACAGGTGTATGTCTAGTGGAGCGTGCCTACAGGTGTATGTCTAGTGGAGCGTGCCTACAGGTGTATGTCTAGCGGAGCGTGCCTACAGGTGTATGTCTAGCGGAGCATGCCTACAGGTGTATGTCTAGTGGAGCGTGCCTACAGGTGTATGTCTAGCGGAGCATGCCTACAGGTGTATGTCTAGAGGAGCGTGCCTACAGGTGTATGTCTAGTGGAGCGTGCCTACAGGTGTATGTCTAGTGGAGCGTGCCTACAGGTGTATGTCTAGCGGAGCATGCCTACAGGTGTATGTCTAGCGGAGCATGCCTACAGGTGTATGTCTAGCGGAGCGTGCCTACAGGTGTATGTCTAGCGGAGTGTGCCTACAGGTGTATGTCTAGCGGAGCGTGCCTACAGGTGTATGTCTAGTGGAGCGTGCCTACAGGTGTATGTCTAGCGGAGCGTGCCTACAGGTGTATGTCTAGTGGAGCGTGCCTACAGGTGTATGTCTAGCGGAGCGTGCCTACAGGTGTATGTCTAGCGGAGCGTGCCTACAGGTGTATGTCTAGCGGAGCGTGCCTACAGGTGTATGTCTAGTGGAGCGTGCCTACAGGTGTATGTCTAGCGGAGCGTGCCTACAGGTGTATGTCTAGCGGAGCGTGCCTACAGGTGTATGTCTAGTGGAGTGCGCCTGGAGCCAGAGCGAGAGGAGGAGGAGGCGCAGGAGGAGGAGGCGCAGGAGGAGGAGGCGCAGGAGGAGGAGGTGCAGGAGGAGGAGGTGCAGGAGGAGGATGCGCAGGAGGAGGAGGCGCAGGAGGAGGAGGTGCAGGAGGAGGAGGCGCAGGAGGTTGAGGCGCAGGAGGAGGAGGTGCAGGAGGAGGCGCAGGAGGAAGAGGTGCAGGAGGAGGAGGAGGCGCAGGAGGAGGTGCATCAAGGGGTGGGGTGGCACCTTGCGCCCCGAGCGGTTGTTGTGCAGGTTGATGAGCGCCCGCGCGTCCTTCTCCTTCTTCTCCTTGGCATCTACGAAGCCCCTGGCGAAGCGGATGCCGTACGCCACGTTGTCGCTGCAGCCACCCCAGTCGAACTCGCCGCGCGCGTCCCTCCACTTGCCCTTCTTGCGGGGGTCGCAGGAGCACGAGGTGAGCTCGCCCTGGCTGCAGGCGCGCGTGATGGCGTGCACCACCCCGGCCGACGAGATGGCGTACACGAACGCCGCCTCTCGGCTACCTGGGCGCGCACGGGAGGACGGAGGCGGAGGCAAAAGGAGGGGGGTGTGCCCCCCCACACCCACCCCCCCCCACCAGACCACCCACCCCCCCACCCACCCCCCCCCAATCCCCCACCCACCCACCATGGAACACAGGAGGGGAGTTACCAGCGATGCGCCATGGAATTGAAAATTCACCAAAACTTAATTCAAATTCAGCAAATAATTTCTGAGTGTTACAGAATAACCAATGTTAAATCAATGCACGCCTCTCATCTCACTCTACTCCCCTTCACGCACTCTCCTACCTCTCCCCTCCCATCTCACTCCACTCCCCTCCACGCACTCTCCTACATCTCCCCTCCCATCTCACTCTACTCCCCTTCACGCACTCAAATAAAAGCCCACCGAGTATGTACAGCATCGTGAGATGTACTCGCCCATAGATCATCAATGTATAGTAATTGTAGATTATCAATGTATTGTAATTGTAGATCATCAATGTATAGTAATTGTAGATCCTCAATGTATTGTAATTGTATTGTAATTTGGTTGCATTATCTGAATCCCAATAAGCTTACAAAAAAACACATACAAATTCGATTTTTTAACACTCAAATATTTTTTTTCCCCGCTCACTCACAATCAGTTTAACATCGCCACTTTGTAAGTCAACTAGCGAGTAGTGTGGCGAAGTGGTCTACAATAACCTCCAATAAAACCATTAAACAATCCAGACTCAGGTGTCCAGTCTGCCCCGTGCTTCGTTCTCGATCGCAATGTCGTACTCTGTGGTCTAAACTTTACTCACAGGGCTTGCATCACGGTGTTAGACGCCTTTTGGCGTCCTCTGGTCTAACACCGCCTTTTGAGACGAGGCTCCAAAGAAAGCTGTCTCTGGTGTTGACCAATCGGTTTAAAAGACAATGCGTATATTATCAGAGTATGTTTTCTGTTTGCATTGTCACTTTCACCACGCCAGGCGCTCAGGTGCCAATAATTTATACACCGAACATTCACTGCACAGGGCCGTGTTGGTAACGCTCTTGTCTCGCTTTGAGCATTCGCGTGATTTGTCGCAGCCACATGGCGCCCACGACGTTTACACGTGTGCGTGTTTCAACTTGTGTACCTGCACGGTATCCACGCGCCCAGCCTGCGTCCCCTTGAGTGCGCGCGCCAGATTGCATAGATGTCAACCCATTCGGCTCACCCCGTATTCTTGTACAGGGAAATTGAGTTTTCAGGTCCATACGGCGTACAGCCGTTTCAATACGGGCACAAAAATCGTGTAAATTTTTTCGTGTTTCTCCCCTTGTGATGGGACTTTGTAGGATGAACGTTGAGATTTAAAAAGGGCACGGGGTGACCAGTAAGGTCTGAATTGGTCTGTAATAAGATAGGGCACTGATAAGGGGTTGACAGGTATGCAGATGCCCAGTATCCAACCGTGACCCTGCCGTGACACCGCCAATTTCCCGTCAATGTCACTTTGGTATCATTATATATTTTTATTAACTCTCTCTCTCTGCTGTCCTCAATATTTTTAAACGCAGTTCGTAAAGAAAAAAACTATTTCTACTCATGGGCTTTTCCCGCAGCTTGTTTGTGTAAACTTGTTATTGTTACCGGCCGCGAGAGGAATCATCTAGACTCGGAGATTGATTTCCCCATTGAGCTTCGGCAAGGGCTTCTTCAAAGGGACGATTCGGCCAGCAGCCGACATCAAATTACGAACGACAGCCTACCTCCAAAGCTCACCACGAGCACCGTCACTATTTAACACACACACACACGGACACAAAGACAAAGGTCGCCCATATAGCCTTAACATAATTTTAGGGCAAGTGCTGTTAGCGAAGGCCGGCACGGCACACGAGGGGGTGGGGTGGCCAGCAACACGCCCGGCCGCCTTTGTCTCCCCAGTGACGATGTTTACACACCGCACCGGGTACTCGTTTGAGGCTGAGTCGACTTAGGGGAGGCACAGGACCGGTTCACGTAATCGTCACTGGTGTTGGCAGCGTGCAAACCGCTACGCCACCGCTCCCAAATACGAATGATGGCCTCCCTCTAAGACTCGCTATGATCACCGTCACTATTTAACACACACACACACATATACACACGCACGTGGCCTGCCACGCACGCGATCTCGCGAGTTCGTATATGCAGATGACACGTAGCCCTCGCTGCGCAGGGCAAAACCCCCAAGAACGTTGCCACTACAGGGACTCCTCTACTTACGAGCACTCGACTTACGAACTTTCAGAGACACGAATAAACCTGTCCGTAGGGTCCAGTCCCCCGTTCGGACCGAGAGTCGTAAGTTCAAGCGCCGTGGTGGCATCTACATCTGCAGAACGTGAAGAACCAGTGGCATCCACGTCTACAGGATATGACACAACTCTTAAAGGCATTCCCCGTGTTTAGTGTGCACACCGTACAGCATGTTTGGAATCGACAGGAGTAAAGTTGGACTTACGAACACATCGACTTGAGAACAAACCGTTGGAACCTAACTCGTTCGTAAGTCGAGGAGTTACCTGTATTTGCATCGGCTCAGGGTCAAGCATTTTTTGTTGGCCGCATCGCAACTCTGGCCACACGATGCTCGAGCGACACCGACACGCCGATGAAGTCACCGATGGCCGGGGGGAGCGATTGGCATGCAAAAGCCATGAAGCCTGGCAGGACACGAAAGTCTCAGAAGGTTTACGTTGTGGCGACCGCCCTAAAGTACAGGCTCGCAAGCTAACGGTGCCCAGCTGAAACAGGGTTAGCAGGCTAAATGAGTCAAAGAGCTTCTGCCTAGGTACGCGTGTGTGCGTGCGTGTGTGTTGTATGGGGAGCGGTAGTGTAGCGGTTAGTGCGCTGCGCTATGAACCTGGCGACCCGGGTTCGATTCCCGCTCACGGCCAACACCAGTGACGATTATCTGAACCGGTCCCGGGCCTCTCCTAAGTCGACTCAGCCTCAAATGAGTACCTGGTGCGGTGTGTAAACATTGCCACTAGGGAGACAAAGGCGGTCGGGCGTGGTGCTGGCCACCCATCCCTCGTGTACCGTTCCGGCCTTCATAGGTGCTCGCTAACAGCACTTGCCCCTACAGTCTGTTAAGGCTATACGGTGGATCTTTGTCTTTGTTGTAGCATGTCCGTTGAACTTCTTTCGCGCTGTACGTAGCCATCCGCGCCAATTGGAGGTGTGGTTGAAAGGCAACGAAATCGAAGTGGATACGCACATGAAGCCTTCTTTGCGAACAGACACTTGGACATTGAAGGCTACGCATTCCCGTGTTGGGGGGTAATGCGGTTTTTACGGATTACAATGGGTTTCCAGAGACGCTGGTTGTACGTTAGCGTCGCGCCTTCGACTCGCGTACGCACCGCCGCAAATATCCAGCGCTCGTTTGCGTGGCCTTGCCAAAGGGAATGGCTCCATCGCTAATCTGACCACGGAGGCATCAAAGCCGCTTCGATTTACTTTCCATGCCAAAGCGCCCTTTTTGACTCTGAGCAATGATTAATGCTGCTGCTGTACGAAGACAAAATTCAGCCGGAATTCGAAACCTATCGTCACATCTGGGGGTTGAGCACCCAGCTCCCACCTAGAAAACTGAATCAACAAGTTGCTGATGAGTAGCTGAAGGGAGCAATAATTAATCATCGTCTGTTTATTTTGCCCTCTCTGCGAGGTGAGTTCAAAGGCGAATTCGACCAGGGAGCCAGGTCTCACAGTTTGCGGCATTTTCATTAGAGCATCGGCGAAACGTATCCATTACGTTCCGCCAGGGTTCAGTAAAAATCCAACTGGTGCTCATTAAGCACTGACATGTTGTCCCGCGTGTGATTGAGCGGACGTTCTATGGACGTAGAAAGCCGATGGAGGCTATCGAAAAAAACCTCACTGCAAATCCCTTCCGAGCTTCATTCACCGACGGAGCGGACGTGCGAGGCGTCGACGTCGGCTTAAAACGCTCACTTAAACTTGACGAGTCCATTTTGTGAGGCGTCATCATCGCCTCCGACGGCTCGAAGAAGTTCAACACGTGCTTGGAAGGAGAGCGAGGCAGGCTAACGGTGATCCGAGGGACAGCCGCGGAAATTGCGGAGGAATCCGAGAATGCTTCGGAGTTTTCCGCACCGCTTTATTCAGCTCGGGGGATCATTCGAGAACCAACCCAACCCAACCCATCCACCCTACGGCTAAGGCCGCAATTTAAATAAGCGAGAGGCCGCACGGTGATGTGAACTTGGTCTCGAAGGCTTTTCGAGAGCCTGACAGAGAAGGATGTCAACTTGTGACACCGCACCGTCGCTGCACAGCGTTCGCCCGCTCGCTAAGAGAGAGAGAGAGAGAACGGGAGAGCCGACGACTCAGGAGTAGCGGGAAGGCAGCAACAGCAGCCAGGCGGTGAAGAGCCAGCGCCAAATTTTCCCCCGACCCCTTCCCCAAGCTCCGCACTCCTCTATATATTAAGGTCTTAATTGACGATTGCACGTGGAAGAAACCCGGTGTGGCCGGAGAAGCCCGTCGCGTGCGAGGGGGCAACACACTATCCCGCACGGATGGAATGGGCGGAGTCCTCATTTATTGCCGCACCGCCCCTTCTCCTTCTCCTGCATGGCGAGCCGCGGGGGGGGGGGGGGTAAGGCGCCCCCCTCGACGCTCACGTCAAGGGAGTTTGACAACATCCGTTGCGGTGATCCACCAACCCTCCGCGTTGCCTCCACGCCGCTGCTGGAGTCCAGGCAGCCGCGTGCACCGCCGCGCAAGTAAAACGTCCAAGATAACCGAAAGGCATCCGCTATGTCCGACGAGGTGGCAGTGATGGATGGGCGGGCCGTGAGCAGACCTAAAACCCAACAGCTTTGAGTTTACGTTGAGATTCAAGATAAGGGACAATATTATCATCGGGAGTACGATGAACGATTAAGAAGAGGCGGGGACGAGCGCCCCTTTTGCGTAATAACCGACGAGGCGGAGCGAGTGCCGGAACCGCGGAGGGATTCGCTTT